GTGATAATAAAACTATGAAAAACACTGAAATTGTTTTGAAAGATGACTACTTTTAAAGAGTTTTCAAATATTGTTTCCTAAGCATAGATAATACAGTTTATGTTAATAATGTGATCCTACATTGGATTATGGCTTCTAAGTTTCTGAGTTAGTTGACATCATGGAGTGTTGACAGGTAATTTGAAATTTAGAAATGAATTTGTGTTGTCTAAATTTATAGAGGAAAGTGAGATGATTATCTATTTCACATAATTTACAAATAAATCTTTCTAACTCTCTAAATTCCTTACAAAGTCCATGATTTTACAACATCATTAAGTACTTATGGTAAGATACAGATATTAATCATTGTCATGTTTGGTGGCCTATATAATCACCTCAATCTAATTACTAATTATACTAATTACTACTTTATTATTATCAGATACTAATTACCAATTAGTTTATAATTCAAGTTTTGGCTACTGATCTGCTGCAATCTTTAGAAAAGAACTGTAAATGAATGAGCAGGAAGGAAATTACAGATACAAACAGCCATATTCCCCTAAATCAAAGTTTCCTCTGAAAACATACAGAAGATATGCAAAGAACAAAACGTCCTATACACTGGAGAAAAGACCAACTAAAGTCAGAATTTAGGACCACAATTGATATACAAGATCACCTAATAATAAACTATCTGCAACAATTTATCCTGTCAATATCCTGTGGTGTCTGTCTGAGCATTCATCTGTCTCCTGTTTATGCTGGCAGTTTCCTATGCTGTATTTGAAAAATTGCACATGCAGGCAGAGTTCAATATTCACTTTTGAAATGATGAGAGAACAGGCATGAATAATATTGATACCAAATTTTTATTTTTACAAACAGGATATTATATTTTAACTTATTATGAATTAATCATAATATCATTCACATTTCAAAACGTGATGTAATGTAAAACATAAAAATGTATATTTACCATATGTTATTGTTGAGTGGCTCTTAGCATGACTGAAATGCTCAACAATTACATTTCATGGTGGGTAGTATAAGTAGCTCAGAGCTTTATCTCTGAGTGAAACCAAGAGTATAACATAATTAACCCTTTTAAAGTCCATGAAATAATTTAAATCAATAGATTAACTTAAGCTTTTCCCAACATTGGAGATGGGTACCTTTGCTTGTAACTGATAACACACTCAGTCAAACTAGCACACAAATCGGTGAAACTTGGATAACCCCTTTAAAATCTATTCAAATATTTAACTGGTTCAAGTTTCAAAATGATGATAGCACATCTGTCTTTCTAACAAGAAGACCCAAGATTAAATCTTGGTCCCTGCCATCAAATATAGCCTTTCTTGGGCTTCACTGAAGATGTCAGTAAATAAGTAGCCAAATGTACAATACAAACTAACTGGTAAATCATATCTAATAATAATAATTAATTAGTGCTTAGGTGATCAAATAAGCCACTAACTATGAGAGCAATTAATATCTGATAGCAACAACCTTACTGCATGTTAAACCATATGATTATAAAATGCTTTTATGTACAGTAAAAATAATTTTAACAAGATAACTTACCAACAAGAATGCTTTACTGTCTTGTTTCACTTTGTGTTTTTCCATGTACTTTACCAATGAACAACTGGAATACCTAAAATAGACATTTTTCTTTCTCATAACTTAACATTAGATAGTTAGAATACTTAATACACAAAGAGAAATGTTCTAACGTTAACAATTTCCTTACCTGAAAATGCATTTCTAATAGATAGTCACCACTCGCATAGCTAGGTTATCTTTCCCATGCATCTGCCTCAGAGATGTGCAAGGGACTAGCCTTTAGACAACTCCCATCTAATCTCATGAAATTTCTCTTGAAATGCACTATTTCATAATGATGTTATTATACAGCAAAAACCTTCCACCAATAGTAGGACAGTGCACCTCCTTCAGCACTAACTCTCTCTAAGCTTCTGCACTCATGAATCTTCATTCTTTGATGAGGCAAGGAATACTAAGGTGCACTGGAAATTGGGAGGAAAGCTAGAAATGTATGTCCAAAGATGGGTATCTATGGGAAATACACTTAAATGCTGCAGGAGGAGAGTATGTACCAAACTCACTCACCTGAACAGGTGATGTCCACAGAAGAAGGGCACATGTGTTTAGAGAGTGCTCACCTCACCTCTACCAGACATGATCTAATTAGCAGGGTATGGTATAGTAGTGTGTGCCCACCTCAACTGTGCTGGACAGTTGCAGACTGCAGAAGGAAGACACAGAATTTGTAATGTGCTCACCTACACTCAACTAGACAGTTGCAAGCTGCAGAAGGAGGGCATAATCTTGTAATGTACTCGCCTAAACTTTACTGAACAGATTCAAGGCACAAGTGGTATAAATATAGTTATATGAGGGGTGACCTGTGCTACACTGACAGTGTCTCCACTGCCCCACTTCCCACTGTTTAGTACCTCTTGTTCTAGCTCCAGTGGTAATTTCCCAATCAGTGAGGATTCTCCATGGTCTACTACCCCAGTGGCTTGGAATTGGTGAGTGGCAAGGGTATCCTGTGCTCAACTCAAAGAAATAATGGGGGAGGAATTTTTGATGGGGAGACCTGGAGAAAATGTTCATTGGTCCTGTTTCAGCTGGAAAGATATTTTACTGGAGACAGTGCAATGGGTGAGCACACATCCTTAATTTGAAAAGTGTGAGCCAGGAAAGCAGGCAAGAGCACCCCCTGATGCTGGTTTTTTTTCATTATAGTCCATGGAATAGGTATGGTCTGGATAAGACAGTAGTCAGATATATATAAATATATCCCGAAGAAACCTCAAGTGGTCTTGTGGAACACCCCATCTCAACAGTGTGCATATATGGAGCCAGGGCAGATGGTATGAGAACATTTCATTATCCTTGCTTGATACAGAATTTTAGGAAATAAGTATACCCTGGGAGGCACCACCACCACCCACCTGGCAGGATACTATGAAAAATAAAATGTACTCATCTGTCTAAAGATGGTGGGTAGACTGTAGGATGATGAATGTCAGAAGATGGCAACCTTCTGGAGACGAGACAGCCAGATGGTGAAGACAATGGGCAACGAAGGTGTGAGAAGTAGTCCACATGCCAGCGTGAAAGATCTCATCAAGTGGCCATCAGAAACAAGTGGTGAGGGAATGAGTAAGGTGAAGAATTTGATGAGATGAAAAGATAAAGAAAAATACAAGAATGAGGGAAAAGGGTACGGGAAGAGTCGATAGCATAGATATATGAATGATGGCAACCACAGCTGAGAAGTAAGAGGAAATAGGTCTAAAGAGAAGTTGTACATAGATGAGATTGAAAGGTGGAAAGGGAAACAAGATGAGGGCTAAGAGAAAGAGAAAGTCCATGAGAAAAACACAGTGTAACCCCTGTTTGGATGGAAGGATGTGAACATAGGAGCTCAAATCATGACTGCCGGGCACCCATAGGACCAAACTCGACTTAATTGTCACCAGCAAGCTCGACAAGTCTGATGCCTGGTAGAAGTGGAGAGCTGACAAGTTGGAATAGAAAAACTGAGAACTGGGGACTAAGTGAGGTATATTGGTAGAGGGTTGGGTTTGGAACAGTGTGGAAACAAAGGATTGGTGACAGTCAGCCTCAGTTACAATCTTTGTACTCAGTTGCTAAGCCTCTTAAAATTTTGCACATGGAGGATATGAAACAAAATAATTTTTTTTGAGATTTTATATATACAGTTGAATAACTAAAAAATCATAAATTACTATTTCAATATCATAAAATTCCACTATAATTTATCAAGTTTAGTAACTAAGCTGTATTTTGGTCTAAAATATATGGAATTTCAAGCAGACTAAAGACACGACCTACCCTCTTGAAATCTTGGTTCGAAAGAAAGAGATGGTGTCCTAAGAATTTAAAATGCCTAAGATAGCCACTAGGGGGACATTCTGAGCTTTTGATTAGTTATTCATGTCATAAATAGAAATATATAGAAATCTGGAATAAGTTTTCTTAAGCACTGAATTCAAGAGTATAGCATAACTCAACTAAAATTAGAACTTATATTTAATTTTAATTTTGTTCCAACACAGAAACATAGTTGGAAACTCACTGGGTCTTCTTGAAGTCTTTTAACAATGTTCCATGTTCAGGCATTTTCTTAATATCTTCCCAATCTTTTTCTGCAAATAGAAGAAGTTATAAGCTACTACAACTTTAAAACTTTTTTTCTTTTGTAAATAAAAATATGTAATAGTTGATAGTGCTAACCAATATCAGGAAAAAGTGCCAACTCAACCTTGAACAAAATATATATTACAGAACTACAAAAGATTGGAATTTCTATGAAACTCAAACTAATCTCTTTACGTCACACAAGGAAGAAATTCGGCCAGAATAAAACAAACAAACCTTGAGGAAATCCCATGACATTAAATATTCGATCAAGTTGATCATGATGATATGGATTACTAGTTTTGATATCTTCTTGTCGGCAGTGAAATATAGGTTCTGATGTAAGAAGTTCTGCAAATATACAACCTATGGCCCATATATCTATAAGAGAAAAAATAACTAATGAAAACTGAATAAAAATAAAGCTTAAAAACTAAAAAGGTACCAAGAAATTGTTTTATCAGAAATCTTCACAAATTAAACAAAGAATCTAGTAGTAATATTACAGTTTTAAAGGAATAAAATTAAAGCTACTACACTCACAAATGCTTTGTTGCATGGTTATTAATTAACGCTATCAGTTTGGAAATAGAAGAATTCAAGGAGATTCACCTATAGCTTTTGTGTAATGTCTAGCTCCAAGGAGAAGTTCAGGTGCTCTGTACCAAAAAGTTACTACAACAGGGTCAAGGTCAGCCAGAGGTTTCAAAGGCGAGTTGAAAAGCCTAGCAAAGCCCATGTCAGCTGTGTAAAAGATTTAATCAGAATAGGTTAGGAATTTCTAAATCAATTATTCATAACTAAAATTATTACTGAAGAACTCAAACCTACAAACCTAATTATTTCCCTTCAATTAGAACATAGTTACCTGCATCACAACAATTTTTATATACTGGTAGCTCAGCTATCTGTTCACAGGCTTGTTCCAATTGACTGTAAGCCTATACATACTAATGTTTACTATAACACTGAATATACTATAGGTATCTTCATTAAATTTAGACTTTTATTAAACATTACAAACCCGATTATTTTTAAAATAAAGTATTTTTTACTAAAGTTATATCTGTGAACTTATGAAGCTTTTACTGAGTCAGACTGAGTGAAAAGTGATTTTCATGTTAATAATAATACTTATCATTTTAAATTTTCATATTTCATATGCCTAAGCTCTAAAACCTCCTTAAGAAATATCAAGTTTGTTTTCAGTAAAGCTTTATATTTGATATCTTATTTTCTCTATTCTAACACTAACTGTAGCAAAATCATAAGTGTACAGTGAAATGAAAAGTTGAAAATATGAAATACAATGATTAATACCATTTTCTTCCTCATCACTGAGTGCAGAATTGATCACACAGTTACAGTTTCAACTGCTAACCTTTTGTCACCTTTCCTTTTAATTTTGTGGTTTTTATACTTTCTTTTGTACCCAATGAAGTATTAACTGTCACGTGAAAAGCAATAAATCACTGAAGAAGCTCATTAGCTATTTCCCCTAGAACTAATATAAATAGTATGTAATTATGAAATTTCATGGCGATGGAGCTTGTAAAATCTTAAATGTTTTATTTCACTGAAATCATGTTAGGCTAAGCTGAGAAGTTTCTTATTTTTGTATTTGCTGCTACTGTTACAAAATATATACATAAAAACAAGGATTTGTAGTACTTAACGTGAACTAAGTTTGGTTTGCACTCAAGTAAAAATGGAAGTTGTTCTTGCAAAATCCTCATTGAGTGTCACAAATATGGGTGTCCAAAAAGAGTTTATGTAGCTCTAAAATTTATTTGGCTTTCTAAGTACGCTATAAATATGTTAAATTAAAAAATTCCTTAATCATTCAGAGCAGCTAAATATGATCACCACAAACCAAATAATTTGGGTGACTAGTCACTTAAGGTGGGAAAACTAAACAATGGCTCATAAGATATATATCTAAAGAAGAACTTGCTCTGTATATCGGTAATAAGCAGGTCCATCAGCTATGTAAAGTTGATTAGCAAACAATCTCAAAAGTCAGTGTGAGAGAGGAAGGAAGGGCTTCTCTGGCGGGTTTGACAAATTTATTGATATCTTAGCAAATCAACGAGGCAGGATGTTCAAATTCTGGTTCTTGCTTGTAATAAGGTGTAGTTTGTGTTCCTATGTAGTAGGAAAACTTAGAAACCTATTACTAAATTTAGAAAGTTCTGAAGAGGAGAAATCAGAGCACAGATGCACCAAATCACAGAAAAATTGTGACTGAGAATTTTTCTAAGTGAAGAAGATAAGACTTAGATAATATAAAAATGTCCATACCAAGTTTACTGGTACACATTGATAACGAATTTGCTTAATTAAAATTGGAATGTAACATGAAAGGTTGTGACATGCATAAAAGAGTCAGGTCCAGATGCAAAGGGTTAACAAAATAGTAGTCTTGGATGCAATTATTTAAACCATTAAATCTGTAATTTACTGTATGCACCATTACTTCTGTACCAATACAATCTCGGTGATAACAAAAATCATCATCATTGGTGTTGGCATTTCTTGCTTCCCAAAATTTGCTTCTGTAATAAAATAAATTTATAAACTGCATCTGATGCACAGTGCATGCTAGGATTAAGAAGAAAAAAAAAGCATTGAAGTGACATAAACAATCTTAAATGTTTTGAGTTGTGGGGTCCCAACCACTAGGAAAAAATGATCCCTTTTTATTTCTTACTTATGAACTGTAGTAATATTAATATATATATATGTTTTAAAGATGAATTGATTTGCTCATGATGTTTCTCTTGCTTTTTCTACCATAAGATCCTCTTTGTTGGATAGTGTACAATTTTGAAGAAAGTACTGCATCCAAGTCAAATTGCCATAGGGTTAATTCTGTAAAATGGGACTGAACATTTTTGCCACAATACCACAGAAAAGTGTATGAATGTTGCAGTGTCAAGTCAAAGCAAAATGCAAACAAAATATCTCAATTTTATTGAAAATTATATGAAAAGAGCAACAAGAAAATAATTTTAGTTTGTGTCCCTGGGACACAATATAAAGCAGTTTTATCTAACCCAATGTTTAAATTTGTGCCTTACTCATAGTAAGTGCATTAATGCAAACACTGAATGGGCCAAATTTATAACAAATGTCTTTTCCATGATAAATGTTATGTGCAGAGGGATATAAAAAGATTTCAGATTTACAAGTATATGAGATCCTATATAAGTAAACCAATTCTTCTGATCACAAACCTGAAATTTTTCACTAAAATCTCAATCACATAGCAACAAAAATTTTCCAAGAAATAGCATTTTGTTTAAATATTTCTAAAACTATTTATACTTGTTCACTATGCATATCCGAAGAAGAAGAAATTTCCAATTTTCTCTTCAATAAACATTTTAATTTTAATTATATATATATATAATACAAGTACTTACAAAGTTAACATTAAACTGTGTTAGTATGTTGTCATACTCTGCCAATACACAATCAAACTTTAACAAATTTAAAGTCAAATGAGCTAGTTACACAATCAAATATTTTCTAAGTCTGCCTGAAATTGGTTACTTATACAATCAAGTATTTCCCAAGTTAACGTTAAACTATTTAAATATGAAATACAATATTTACTAAATTAACATCAAACTATTAAAGCATACAGCCAAATGTTATTAAGATATTGTTGAATTATTAAAAAAGAACAGTTAAATACTCATTATGTTTGTATCAACCTATGTGAATATATAATCAAATATTATTAAATTTAGGGTAGAACTATATAATTATAAGATCCAAAATCTAGTGCATTAATACCAAAACTAAGTCTTTAGTATAAAAAATGGAAGAAAACATCTTCCCAAAACCAAAATTACACTAAGCATAATCAGAAAAAAAAATTTATTTCAACATTTTATTGAGGAATTGAAAAGTGGTATACAAATTTCAGGAATTAAAACTCTTTCTCTCTCTCTCTGTACATATATATATTCAATCAGTAATTTTATTTAAGTTTTCTGTTTAACAGTTTCTCTCTACATCTGTGTTACTTGGATGACTGACACATATATACAGTATTGTATAACTTACAAAATGTAGAGGTGATACACAAAGTCAAAAACAAATATCTGTAGTACAATAATTATTACAGAAAATGTAAAAGAAAAGTGAATAAACTAAACAATGCTCTAGCATTTTGTCTTCTCTTTAAACAAAACATTACACATTTTGTTTTTATGTTATTGTAATTTTCTCAATGTATGTTTGTGAAAAAGTGTTCCAATTGTCCGGTATTATTCCTTAAAATTCAGTCAAGTTGTTTGGTTGTCATTTGATCTTCTCAGTTTCCACAGAGAAGCCCACAGAGACTTAATAACATTCATAGCAGGGATTTCTGTAGGCTAAGCCATGTTTGCAAATCGCCCTCTTACTCCTTCCAGGTAGCATTTCACCACATTTTCTGCATGCTTTAGATCACAGTCTTACTGGTATATGATTCCCTGTCCAATAGGTCTTGTTTCCAAGGAAATGACATGATGTATAAGAAGATATATGTACATCAGCAGTCGGAGTGTCTTCAAGTTTGTGTACATTTCCAACATCATTTGCTGAGATGCAACTCACACTTGTATTTGTCTCCCAGCATGATTCACTTGAGTTTTTTTTTACATCATGATACTGTTCTCATCCTTGTCATTTAATAAACTATCACTGATTTTTGTCAAATAATTTGAATTTATATGTAAAGAGCACCTGCTTCCAGCTTTGTTCATCTCAATGTTTGAAGTCTGATACCCATTTCTGTCTTTTGGTTTGGTTATCTTTCCTAAGCAGTGATTTTTTGAGCAGATGCACATCTATTAAGGCCTCTTTATATTAACCTGTATACTACTGTTCTGGAAGTAATATTCACATCTGTTCTTACAATTAAGCCATTGGAAATATATTTACTGGATTGTCATGTATTACATGAAGAACATATCCCAAGTTACTTAACATCATTATTTTTAAGAGCTTGGCCTTTCTGCTTCGATCAACATTGCTAGTGTCATATATGCTCTACAGAGTTTCAATAAAACTCTTCTGAAACACGTTTTCACTTCAATTTTTCAGATGAAGTAAACATCAGTGAAAACTTTAACTTACACATATTTGTCACACGGAATTTCTACTGTGAGAGCCATACATACATTCACCATACTAATGCTGGAAACAGAATGACCGAACTGTACTTTTATAGACATTAGGCTTTTGTGGCACTGTCTGATTGGTTGGAATGACAACAAATCACAGTGTAAACTTACCAGCACATGACTGTATTCTGGTGCACTTGAGTTTCACATGACAGAGGGAGAACAATCCCATATACTTGAATTTTCTATCTCTTTCATTTACTCTTTCCAATACTTTATATATATATATATATATATATATATAAAACTCTGTTCTGTTTACTGACTTACCTATTTTACTCTTACC